AGAGAGAGAGAGAGAGAGAGAGAGAGAGAGAGAGAGAGACAGAGAGGAAGGATGCTACGTGTGTGTGTGTGTGTGTGTGTGTGTGTGTGTGCATGTGCGTGCATGTGTGTAGAACGGGTAGAGTAGAGTAGCTTAGCGTAGCTTAGAGTAGCACAGAGTTGCGTAGAGTAGTCCAGAGTCCAGTTCACAATGTCGTCGAGTAGCTTAGTCTCGAAAACAACTTCTAGTATAGAGTAGCGCCGGCGTCGACTCTAACTCAGCATTGTCAGTAGCAAACCGCCCTCAATTTGGCAGTGCGCGTGCCCCAAAAATTAGTTACTATACGTTGTAGTGGCGCTGGACCGGTAGCACGTCATGCGCAACCCCGGTGCAGAGCTGGTAACACGCTTCAGTACCAGCGCTGGCATGTGGTACTGACACTGGCCACGGGATCGATACCGGCCCTGGCGCAGAGCCGCAACGGTTCACCTTCTAAGAGCAAGCGATCAGCAGACGATTGGGACCGTCGCAGAGTGTAAAATCGGAGGGCCCCGATCGTCTGCTTGTCACAGGCCGCTAATTAGCAATAGTTATATCCAGAGGAGGTATAGGCAGAGAATTTTGCAGGCAGAGAATTTTGTAGGCAGAGAAAGTAGCAAGAGGACTTCATGGGAGAAGGATCCGCAGAGAAACAAGGTATCACAAATCCGTCCGAAATGAAAGTGACGACATATCGAGCGGAAGAAACGTTTGAGCGAGGGCACAAAACGTCAGGACAGCGAAGAGAGAGGCTTTCAGGTGCGCACATATTGCAAAGAAAAAGGAGAGAATCCTTCTAAAGGAGCCTTGTTCCCTGACGACGAAGTACATTCCTGCCAACCATTCACAGTGCTAATCAATGGTGCGACATTTATGACTCATCGCTAATCAGAAGTACCCATGCTAATCAAACAGCCCCCTGGCTCAGGTCACCAATCATCTTATTTACAGATAGAAGAGAAGAGCCTACCCTGCGATCGAGCTGCCGGCTTTTTCTGAAGGAAAGAGGACATAGGTCAAGTTCTTTTGCTTTTCGTTTGCATGCGTGAGGGAGGGGAGAGGGGATGAGAGGGGAGAGAAGGAGGGGGGGTGGGGGGGGGAGGAGAAGAAAATAACAAAATCCCAACAAGAAACACTCAGACTGTTCTCACTTAGTTGTATTACCTTCGACAGCTTACCTGCATTATTAACCAGGATATCCACCTGGCCCCACTCGTCCATGACCTGAACGGATTGAATCAACCCACCAACAACAAACCATACAGATCAAGCAAGTCACCAAACACACATACCAAAGTGATAATCCTTTTTTTTTTAAAGACTCACTCTTGCAAAACATCAAGCATGATACAAAGTATCGTCCTGTCCAACTAGAGCATGGTACAAAAAGTGGTGCCATTGTGTTCATTCATCAGTAATTAAAAACAGATACACACCCAAATACACCGCCCATGCTCAACAAATAGAACATCAAGTTACTATCGTTGTATCGGGACTAAGTTACCCATGTTGCTATAATGACCGTACTGCATGAGTCCTGGAGACCATCTCACGCAAGTGTGTACATGCCATGCATTGTTCTCCCACACACAACGAACAGTAGTCTGATAATAGACGAAGGTAGAGAAGATGAGAACCGAGTTTCACAGCTTATACTATCAAAATATGAATACAAAGTATTTCAAAGTTTCCCTGAGTCCAGCGCTCATCAGCGCAACACCAATATCTTGCCAACTCATCAATATGCCTTCCAGTGAATCAGTGYTACCCCTGCAGAYAGTCTCCAAGTCATCAATGTGGTCACCACTCATCAATGCCACCTCTGCAGATCACATCCAACTCAGGTAAGTATCTTCCATAGCCAACCTTGAATGAACACTCTCAGCCTCTATCCCTTCCTCTTATGATGCATATACACTCTTCAATACTCATGAGGATCTACTCTGGATACTACTCATAGCTACATACTAACCCTCTACTTCTAATGCCAACTCGCTGGGCAGCTATGGCTGCATCACTTCCAGCATACAGGCATCTTCTTTCCTCCAGCGCATCTTCTCCTCCAGCGCTGCTCCTCCTGACTCAGCGCACAAGTGCACCAGCACTTCCACGCATTGGCAGCCAGTGGAGATCTGGGTCGGAATGAGGCTGGCTGCCTCCTTTATACTCCTCGCTGGGTCTGTATTGGCTCAATCCAGCCTTCCTTTTGTCCCAGACCCTGCATTGCATGTGTCCCAGTAGAGTCCCAAACGAAGTTCAACTGCTGCTGAGGCCTCCCGGCCTGAATTTGGACTTGAAAGTCTGGATCTGGACTGACCCCTGGACTTAGACCAGAACTGGGACTGTGCCTATTGACTTTACTTTCGGACAGGCACAACTCTCAACGAACAGACACATTTACTGCTTGAATAGACACTTTACTTGGCACGAACAGACACACTGCCTGCACGTACAGACACACCCTTACCCAAACAGACATGACGTAAACGCTGTCTCTTATACACATCTAGATGTGTATAAGAGACAGCCTTTCACCTGCTTTCACGTTTCTGAGCTCTGACGAGATACCTTTTCACAATGCTTTACTTTTTCAAGGCCCGTGCTGCTTTATTTTTACAAGGCCTGAGGCCTATATCGGGTAAAGGCCCTTTTAGTACATCCTATTACGAGCAAATAGAAAACGTGAGCTGATACGAAATGCCTCCAAGGTAATACGTGAAACTTCAATTACAACCAGGATCAATCGAATCATGCCTATTGTCTTCCCCCGAATAGGACATATGGTCATTATAGCTGTATCTACAGTGAAAGTTGCATCAGAACAACTGCACAACACAAAATGACCGTAGTAAGTAGTACTAACGGTACGAAGCAGTGCTAAGCCGTGCTAAGCAATGCTCAGCAGTACGACATACAAGTAGAAAGCACAACTTAATTGTGATAATCATAAGCAGTAGTGATAAAGTGGAAAGTAGAGGTGGAGAGAGAAGTCATCGTAATCAGTACTAGCAGTGACAAGTAATGAGGGAAGTAGTCGTCGTAGAAGAAGAGGATTTAAAAAAAAATGACGGCTGCTTTTCACATGGATTGTTGGCATTTGAAGTGCTACGATTTCAAGTTTCAACTTCACATTGAATCTCTTTTTTTATATATATATATACTTTTCCCTCAACAGAATGCACTGGACCATTTCATTTCTCAATGTAAGTGTGTCATTGTTGCGCAAGCCATGCAAATCTTCTCTGCATCATTCCAATATTAACGGATGTCCCGAAGGACACGTAGCACTGGACATTAACAATCCAGAACCTCAAAAGCTCGACAATAAGCTCGACAATGCACACCGGAAATGCAATGAAGAAGTGTACCTAAATCCTGGAACCTTATGAAAATCCTGGAACCATTTCGGAAATCCTAGAACCTTCTGGAACACCCTGGGCCCTTCTGGAACACCCTGGAACCTTCTGGAAGATCCTGGAACCTTCCAGAACACCCGAACCTTCCAGAACACCCGAACCTTCTGGAACACCCTGGAACCTTCTGGAACATTCTGGAACCTTCTGGAACATTCTGGAACCTTCTGGAACACCCTGGAAACCTTCTGGAACACCCTGGAATCTTCTCAAACACCCTTGAACCTTCTCAAACACCCTTGAACCTTCTCAGACACCCTTGGACCTTCTGGAAGATCCTGGAACCTATCCTGAAATCTTCTGGAAGGTTCTGGAAGATCCTGGAACCTATCCAGCCTATCCTGGGACCTTCTGGAAGATGCTGGAGCACCCTGGAACCTTCTGGAAGGTCCTGGAACCTTCTTGAAGATCCAGGAACCTTCTGGAACACCCTGGAACCTCTGGAAGATCCTGGAACCTTCTTCCTACCAACACTGCAACATGGCATTGGCTGCACTCTGAGACTCCCGTGAAGAGGGTTCCTATAAAATCCCAACAACTGCTCCACCTCAATTTTCAACTAGCCATCACATTCCAAGCACTACCTGACGGCATGCAGGCTTTGCAGGCTGATAAACAAATCAAGAAAAAAAAAAAGCGCTTCAGAGAAGCAATGTGTGGCAACCATGAAGAAGAAAGATAGCAGCTTTATGCCAGACACACTCTTGCAGCCATAGCTACCATACTCACTTCATTGATCGGCAGCTAGTCGCCGGCGACGGCAACCAACTGTGCCCCTTCGTATCCGGATCACCTGCAGGCAGCCTGGACCACCTGCGCAGGCTGCCCTGCTTCCCAGATACACCTCAGCTGGTTCTAACTGTGCCTCGCGTTCCGTTTTTCTTTTTTGCTCCAAGGGATTAATCCCCAAACATTATCATGTTCATCCAATCTGAATCCATCCATTTGGGTTCGAACTCCTGAGCGGACTAGAAACAGTTACAACAAGTGTGTTCCATCCAGCGACAAAAGGGCTCGGCTCTGAGCCTTGGTTTCCAAATCAACCATTCCATAAATAATTAATATTAAATCTTCACAACAGGGCACAGACATTGGTGGATCCATTCAACCATTCCATAAATATCTAGGCTACCAGAGTGGCCCGGGACCACTTGCCCGGCCAGGCCAAAATAAAAATAAAATAAAAATGGTTTTTTTTTTTTTTTAATTTAAATTTGGCAACGGATTTCAATGTGACCCTGAGGCAAAAAGTGTTCAGTTTATTTTTCTGCATAACATAGTTTTTTTTTCAGTTTTTTTTTCTTTTTTTTTTTTTTGGCTGGGACCTTCCCTGGTCCTTGCACAGCCGGGCCCCCCGGGAAAAAATGGTGACCCGGGCGGCCCGGCTGGTAGCCTAGATACATATTAAATATTCAAAACACGGCACAGACATTGGGGGAGCCCGCCTGGGAAAAAAGGGTGACCCGGGCGGCCCGGCTGGTAGCCTAGATAAATATTAAATATTCACAACAAGGCACAGACATTGGGAGAGCCATCCCAGCTGCAAAGACTCAATCCAGGTAGTTCACTCACAACCACACCGGGATAGTGGCCTTACGGCCCTTCCCTTACTCTGATGTTACCTAAAAAAAAAAGAAGTCCCAACAGGGCACAGAGATGCGGGGCCACAGTTTATCTATGTTTGGAAAATCTGGGCTGCAGGGCTAGCATGCGCACAACCAAGCCGAAGCACCAATTCATTCATGCTGGCTGTGCTACCTGCACTGCCACGGACCATATAGAGTTCAACAGAGGAAATTAAGGGCATACTCGCATTAGGACTTTCCTCCATGTACCTGACTGAATTACGGCCAACTCTGGATGTATCTGGCCGCCATAACGTCCAGAGCTATGTTAAAAAAGTCCTTGTGTGAGTATGCCCTCAGAGAGGAACAACTGAGTGCCGGCAGCAATTCTACACTCTCTCTTGATGTCCAAATGCGCACAGAGGTCAACAGGAATATGAAGCAATCCACAGAGCAAAGAACATGATTTCTAGATAATTCCAACATAATTTCAACAAGGTTTAGGGAGACGTTTGTGTTACTTTGTAAGCCATTCAGAAAATCACGATCAGAAGAGGATCAAACGGAGAGAAACGGAGGATCGGATGCAGAGGATCGGACACAGATTTGGACAGAGAAAGACAGACGATTGTGTGGCGTCAGACAGAGGATCGGACAGAGAATGACAGAGAATCGGACAGAGACTGACAGAGAATCGGACAGAGGATCAGACAGAGAATCAGACAGAGGATCCGACAGAGAGCGACAGAGGAATACAGAGAATCGGACGGAAATCGGGCAGAGGGTCGGACAGAGAGAAACGGAGGATCGGAGGCAGAGGATCAGACACACAGATTTGGACAGAGAAAGACAGACGATTGTGTGGCATCAGACAGAGGATCGGACAGAGAATGACAGAGAATCGGACAGAGGATCAGACAGAAAATCGGACAGAGGATCAGACAGAGAATCGGACAGAGGATCAGACCGAGAATCAGACAGAATCAGACAGAGGATTGGACAGAGGATCGGACAGAGAGCGACAGAGGACCGGACAGAGAACCGGGCAGAGGGTCGGACAGAAAAAGGAGAAGACAGAGGGTCAGATAGAGGATAGGACAGAGGATAGGATAGAGAATCGGACGGAGCATAGACAGACGAGACCGAGGATCGGACAGAGAATCACACAGAAATAACAGAGGACTGGACAGAGGGGTACATACCGCCTTGAACATCTTATCCACGTCCTCCTGCTTGGAGACGTCACCACCGATGACGAGTGCTGCACCTCCCAAATCAGTCACCTGTACAAGAAAAAGAGCAACAGGAACCTTAGCCCCAATATAATAACAGAGATTAATAAATTAATATCGTAACATACTTGCGGCGCGTAGGTGAAGTGCGCTGCGCGGTGCGCAGTGCGCTAATCCCAGGCGCACACGCGCGCAAAAAAAAATAATAATAAAAATAAAAATAAAAAAACGTGATGTGTGTATACACGCTGGAGAGAGAGAGAGAGAGAGAGAGAGAGAGAGAGAGAGAGAGAGAGAGAGAGAGCACAGAGTCCTTTCACATTATTCATACAACCCCTGCCAGTACTTCAAAGGTCTCTGCCCAATATTGGCAAGGGTCCCTTCTGCAGGAACAGGGTGGTCATTGGAAGGGTGGTCATTGGACGGGTCATCACTGGACTCATAGTAAGGAGGGAATACGCCAGCTACATATGGTGTAGCTTCGATTTCAGGTCCGTGTTTCAGCAGTTATGGGTTACTGACTTACTAACTCGGCATGTGATTTTGAGGGCTTCACTCCACTACTCACCAAATGTGGAAAACTAGAATGAAACTTCTCCTAGAAACTGCATCCATACAGGCCATACGTTTTTCTTTTCTGCAAGTGCTGACGAGTGGAGCCAGGCCCTTAGGGCCACTGCACGCAAGTAAGAAAAGGAAAAACAAAAAATGAGACAGCTACTGTATGTGCAAAACTAGAATGAATCTTCTCCTAGAAACTGGAAACATACAAGCCATCCGTTTTTCTTTTCTGCAAGTGCTGATGAGTGGAGCGAGGCCCTTAGGGCCACTGCACGTAAGAAAAGGGAAAAAAAAAAGAACGAGACAACTACTGGAGTGTTTGTGGTAAATTCGTAACCCATAACTCTTGGAACACATACCTGAATCCGAATCCGGGATATATTGCTGGCCTACTCGTGGTCTTCCAGCAGTCCAATGCACATCCTTCCGAAGGTTATGGAAACCCTGCTAATTGCTTGCAGGGTACTTTTCGGAAAAGAGAATCAAACCAATGAGAAGTAGGAGGCCCCAAAATATTCTCTTTGTGTACTTACCCTTTGGAGGGACACTTGTGATTACCTACCCTTTCTGATTTTTCTTTTTTTTACTATTTTCTAAATGCGCCGCATCACGTGCGCGTGCATGTGTCCACATGTGCGCTGCGGCGCACATGCGCAAGCTGCACGCACGTGATGCGCCGCAAGTATGGTTTGTAAACTTCATATCCGAATTTTCTCATTGCCATCTGCAAATGGCGAGTGTCAAAGAGTGACAAGAGTCCTTCAAAATACCACAACCAATCGCATCCACAGACTACCGTCTTCACCCGAATAGAACGCCCAGTCATTATCACTGCATCTGGACCGAATGTTACGCCAAATACAGCTATAACGACCAGGCGTTCTATTCGGGTGAAGACAGTAGGATGAGAGAGTTATCCACAGGATAGACCGCTAACGAGTTCGAATCCTGATGCCATTACCTACATATACCATAATTAGGGGTTTCCCCCACAGAAAAAAGAAGGAAAAAGTTCTGAAAACATAAAACAGGCAATGAAGAAGAAGGAATCAGTTCACACGCATGCCAATTTGCTGCACCCATGGCTCACTCCTGCCTGCTGAACCAGACTCGCATCACAATGCAGGCACCTGCTGCAGCAGGCATGTCTTTTTTTTTTTTTTCCTCCCTTATCCCTTGTGCGGGGCCATGCTAACCTTCTTTCTCTGTATCGTTCCAATTTTAACGTACGTCCAGTGTCAATTTCAGGAACGGGAAAACTCTTAACTGTCTAACACCACTGTCTTTCCCCACACGCAGTGCACCCTCATCTCAATATCGGACCAGAAAGAGTATATACATTCATACTCAATATCGGACCAGAAAGACAGCTTGTATACACATCCATATTATCAGCATGCATTGTGTTTGAACTTCGCGAAGGAACACAAAGTTCTGATTCGCTTATGAGGTGTTGAGGGGTAAGCGACATGACATGACACATGACGCACCTCCTGAGCTACAGCATCGGCAGCAGTGGACGACCTTGAATAGTTCACAAGCACCTGCAAGTTGCATTCAAGTGACAATGATCAGTCGATCTGGCAATCAACGGTTCCAAAAACTTCTCTTCCATGCACACATATCATCAAGCCAATCAAGCGAGAGTCAGGGAAGGGCAGCAGGCAAGGAGAGCTGCTGGCAGCAACCTCGCCCAAATACAGGGCCAGGGAGAGTGTGGAAGACCCCATTTCCCCTCTTGGGAAGAGAGAAGGTGTGTGTGTGTGTGTGTGTGTGTGTGTGTGTGTGTGTGTGTGTGTGTGTGTGTGTGTGTGTGTGTATGTACATGTGCTTGTTAAGCTTGTTTTCACTGACCACCCTTCTTGGGGAGAGTGTGTGTGTGTGTGCGTGTGTGTGTGTGTGTGTGTGTGTGTGTGTGTGTGTGTGTGTTTGTTTTCATAATCGCTATACACTCAAAAAAAGCATGAATGTGCCACACTGTTTCGTAGGACTTTCTCCGACTCATCAGTAGGTGTGTGTGTGTGTGTGTGTGTGTGTGTGTGTGTGTGTGTGTGTGTGTTTGTTAAACATTGCTTTCATTAAACACAACAAAACAAGGCAAGGTGACAGGCTTATTCGTCAGACTTTCACCAGTTACCTATTTCTTTGTGTTCTTTTTCGTTTTGTTTCTTTTTCGCGTGTGTTTATTTATTCATGTACGTGCATGTGTGTCTTGTCACGTTGACTTATGTATCAGGGTGGGCAGGTTCGATGGCTTTTATGAACCTGCGGTTTTTGATCCACCTGGGCAGGTTCGATGGCTTTTATGAACCTGCGGTTTTTGATCCACCTGATCCTATTTTAGATCCTACACAATTCCACAAAAGAACCAAGATACAATTCCACAAAAAGATGGCGGCAGACTCTTACCAACCCATCAGGAGGTAAATGAACCCTGGTAGTCTACCCCTCTTTTGATCCTCCCCCCAGGGTACATTTGACTTTGTGAAGGGGGGGATGGGGGGAGGAACTGTGACAGTCTTCCCAGGATGCATTTGAATGTGGGTGAAGGGGAACACAAGGGGGAGAAAACAAAGGAAAAGGAGGGAAAAGAAGACAGAACGGGAAGAGAGAGGAGGGTGGCAAGAGAGGTGAGTTGGCCTCAGCCCTTCTATTCAGCCTCAAAAACAGTCTTACTGCACACCCTCACGATAAAGAGTTTGACCACCCAGAAGAGTCAGTCAGGCCCACTGCATGATCAGCACCTGGACGGTGCCAGCGACCAGATGCAGATGGGTCCGCCCGATTTCAGGCAAACGCCAACGCGTTAGTTAGCCTCCTACAGAAATCTAGCATACTACGTCTTGTCACACAATTGAGGGGCGTTATACTCCCGTAAGCAAATTCCATTTTTTTGACGAATCTGGCAGTAATGAAAAGCAGATACATCCAGGAAAATCCTAGTGCGAACGTACACTGAGGGCAGATTCACACCGGAGGATAAATTCACACCAGCCACTTCTCTCTGGACGTATTTTGCCGTAATAACGGCCAGATCCGGTCAGTCAGACAACAATATGAGTAAGCTCCAAGTGTACTTCTTCAGCAAGCTAATGCAGACAAAGGGAACGGTCCCACTTCCTGCTGAGGGTGCAGACGCAAGAACGAAACCCAAGTTGTACAATAATTTCCTTAAGAAAATACAGCCGAAGGGTCGGCGAGAAGGGGGGGGGGGGG